GCTGGGCCGGCTCTCTCTGCAGTGGCCGGCTCTCTCCGCAGTGTCCAGAGACTGCAGAAGGGCCTGCGGCGCGCGTGGTCGCCGCTGGGCCGGCTCTCTCCGCAGTGTCCAGAGACTGCAGAAGGGCTGGCGGCGAAGGGCCTGCGGCGCGCGTGGTCGCCGCGGGGCCCCCGGCGGTTCTATGTCCAGAGACGGCAGAAGGCCGCAGTGTCCAGAGACTATAGAAGGGCCTGCGGCGCGCGTGGTCGCCGCTGGGCCGGCTCTCGCCGCAGTGTCCAGAGACTGCAGAAGGGCCTCCGGCGCGCGTGGTCGCCGCTGGGCCCCCGGCGGTTCTGTGCGTGACTGCCATTGTGATTTCCATAGTATTGGTTCTTGCCGGTTTGGAGTCGCATTGTAAATGCTGCGAGAAGGATGTTTGCGAAGTGTGTCTGTGCACTGGTGCCATTGTGATTTGCAGGACCAGTGTTTGCGCGGCATGCGAATCGCCTCGTAAATGCTGCATAGAAGTAGTTTGTGAGAACACAGGCGTGGCCGACACACTCACTCACTCACTCACTCACGCACTCACTCACTCACTCATTCACTCACTCACTCATTCACTCACTCACTGACGCACTCACTCACTCACTCACTCACGGAGAGAAGTTGTTTGTGAGAACGGAGAGAAGGCATTCGCAGCCGATTGTATATTTGCCTTTTCTAGTCGGATTTTCGCGGAGACCAATGCTACAATGCTGCTATCAGGTCTGGGCCTTAACGTTTTTGGTTGATGGTGGAGTTCTATTTTTGTGCTGAACTTCGAGCTGGTTTTGGTGACATAGAGAGATGGTCAAAAAAGGCGACGTGACGAACTTTGTTGAACTTCTGAATCTATACAAAAAAACGTGTCTCACCTCTTCTTGCTTTACATCCTGCTAACACTGCCCGCCACACACACACACCTCCTCCCTCCCCTCCTTCTCATCCTCGTCCATCACATCATCACTTATACTACACGTCTTAGCACAACCGCCTCATATACCTTCTCTCCTCACACTTCCTTCTTGACTTTTCATCTCACTACTCCGTCTCCCATGTGATGTTCATATACAGGTGAAATTTGTAAAACTTATCATGTGGGGTTATCCGGTCCTTTTATTTTCAGATGGACCTGAGGAGGTCTACAAAGGTTTGTATTCCAAGCTAGGGGGAATCGCAGGCATACCTGCTTTGCAGGTCGAGAGCTAACTTTTACGGTGGCTTCAGAGTAGATGGCACAATCCTCAAAAGGTGGTTTACTAAATGGACCCCTATATATAATAAAATATATATATATATGAAAGACGTCTATGGGTTTGTGCCGTCTACTCTGAAACCACTGTATATAGTCTGGTTGCAAGATGTTGCAAGTGTTTCTTTTGAATTTTCAACTGGGTTTCCCCAGAAACCTCATGCGCCTGATGTTTCTCCAGAAACAGCGATGTTTCAAGCTAGCGGCGTTTGGATGCAGTCCGCCTGCAAGGTAGAAAAAAAACGAGAGGGAGAAGACAACAGATGCAGGAACGTGCAGGATGTTTCATACACAATGTGTATCAATGTATCAACACGTGCTGTTTCTGTTTCAACAGATATCATTTGCAGGAATGAGCATAGCCAGAGATCTTCTAGTAGCTATACAGTGTTCTTCCCGGGAAGCCGATGTCCCGTCTTCCGAGGCTCTGAAGAAAAGCACCGAAGCGTGCGCGGAATTCCACAGTGGAGAAGCCCAGATCGAGAAGCCCAAGTCAAGCAGTTGTGGAGTGGGACATCTCATGTAGCAATTGCCTTGGGGTCAAACACAGGCGTGACATGTCAAAGTACGGGCTGAGAAAGATATATGTGCGTATAATGATGTATGTTCATGGTCCAGATGGTTTTCCTGAAATTGACTCCCGACCCGCAATCCAAAGGTTCTCCTTGCGGCAATTTACAAGCATGTGCTCGCGATAGTGCAGGTGTTGAACATTCGTGGGTTTGTTCTGCACTTGATGCCGTGCTCTTGAACTCTTTGATAGTTTTTAAATGTTTTTAACCATTTGGCGCCTGTGGCGTCCAGTGTTCAACTCAGCTTCAGCATTTGGGGCGCAACTCTCGAGGAGTAAGGACTACCTGAGACGATGGTTGGGTGGGGGTCAAACCTCCCTTTAAGGATGTGTTTGGAGCCCTACCAAATCACGGACGCCCAGCACTTCTGGAGGAGGGTTGGAGAGTTTGTTGACTTGGAACTGCCCTGCACAACGGTCAGCAGAGATTTCCGCTGACCTGCCACAGAAGCCCAAGGTGAAGAAGAATGCTTAGAAGGTGGGGAGGGTGCCGACGGCCGTTGGCATGACGAAATTCACATGGAGCTTGGGGCGTAGCTGGAATGTGGATGCAGAGATGACGTAGCTGGTTCCTCTTGGTTCCACGATGGGGGGCAATTCACCTAAGAGATTTAACTGTTGTTGATTTCAGTTGTTGAACAAACCCACTTGCACCGCCCAGAAAATAGATGCTCGGCGCAACTTAAATGAGACGGCGGATACACTACTGGTGCAACTCGCATGTACATTTGCATCATATTAAACAACAAAAATCCTGCAAACTGGGAAAGATTGGGAAAGTCACAATATCACTTACAATAGCGAGGGAACTTTGAAGGGAGAGAATTGTGTTCTAGAACGCAGATGGCGCATTGCTCATTAAAGCTACAATGGTCAAGAGTACTGCAGTAACGAACTTGAGAGGGCTAGCAGAGGCAAAAATGTGGAAGCTAGAACTTGCAGATGTGAAAGCTGGAGTTGAACCTGCACACCGTTTTTGAACCCCTCGAGGCCCTCGACTGTCGATACTGGGAACTTACAATAATAGGGATCCTGTATATAATATATAGATGCTATATATAGATGCTATATAGTTGTTTTCTGTTTTTGACCATCAACTTTCCGATCGGAGTGTGGGTTATTATGCAGTGGAGGGGTTCCAGGGTGACACTCTTCAGCGTCTCGAAACATACTTTCATTGGGGTTCAGGTCACCAGTATAGGGCTCCGCTTGGAGGACGTGCACCTGCACAGAGGCAAGCGAGTTGTCACACCAAAAAATGTGACCCGTGGAACGTTCACAGACCTAGCGGAACGGCACACGGAACCTACCTGAACCATCCGAGGCGTGTCCAACGGAAGCGAACTTGTGTAAGGCAGTGTAAGGCAATGTGTTGGCGACTTTTAACTCACTGTGGTCCCAATATGTCCTAATTATTTTCGAGGTAGATGACCACTCCAAATATATATATATATATATTGGACTTTACTACATCTATTGTATTAAAACACACGTAAATTATCGTAAATTATGTCATACAGAAAGGTTTTTTCAGGCTGTTTCACTGACCCCTTTCTCATCCCATCCACAGTACATCATTGAGTATATATATGATATATGTGTCTACGAGCTGCTGAATTGTGCAACCTTGAACCGATTGGATGGCCTCCCATGATAAATGCAGCGAACATCTTTGTGACTTCTGGTTTGCATGCAAAAATGGAAAAGGAAAAGAACATCCTTCGACATCGCTCCAGCAGAAGTCAAAGAAAAACGGGTTGGTACGGGCTGGACACGGATTGCGAAAACATCTGTTTGCAACACCCGAAGTATTTGTTCCAAAGTCCGGGTCAGCAATGGTGAGTTCAATCCCAGGTAGGACACAGTTTGTCTCGGTCCACCCGCGACTTGTTTCACCCAATCCTCAGGTCAGGTCACTTCCTCACTCTGAAAAGCCACATCACCAAGACAAAGCGAAACTATGTGTTCTTCTCGTTGAATTCCCAGCTTCGGTACCAAACCGGACGGAGTCCGGATCTCACACGATCTGTGGACACCGAATCAGGGGTTTTGACGGTTCACCCGATATTTGGTGTTTTCTCGAAGAACCGGATGTGAATTTCAGAATTGTGGTGAATTCCCGATGTTACTTTTCAATCCTTTGATGTAACAGGTTTTTGGTGCACAGTGCATAGGGTATTAATCATATGAACATCTATCTCTCTCTATATATATACTATGGTAAAGTCACCAGAAGGATTCGATAGGAACTGGTCCTATCACCGGAGGACATGTTTTCTTCATTTCTGATGTTTCCGACGTGCTTCGGGGACTTTCGGGTTGCTCAGGAGAAGCAGATGGTGTGCCCTGCTGTTGGAGAGGAGCCCTGAACTACGCAGTCACTGTCGGACAAAGTGTGGACGGTTTGCTCCTGTGCCCATCAGTGGTAGTGTATGTGAGTAGCATGTTCTACATAGATGTTGTCGAAACTCTGAAAGCTTCCAGATGTTTTCAGGTCAAAAGCTGCGAGATATTTTGCCTGAATACCGGTTAGATCCTGCAGTTCCGATGCATTTAAAGATTCTCAGATTTGGATATCTCAGTAACTCCCAGAAAGCACTCACATTTGCATCACCTTCACCACAAGAACCATGGGACATCAGCGTTAGCCTGCGAGTGTCTCTCTTGGACCATCTGAGTTCGATGAGCGTCCGGTGTTTGAAGGTACAGCGGACCACGAGTGTTCTTGGGTCCATTTTGGAAGTCAAAGGAAGGATTAAACGGGTGTGCAATGATGGAAAACTATAGAGATAATGAGTCCACTGCCGTTGTGCAATGATGGAAAAGCATGGGAGAAAGAGAGAGAGAGAGAGAGAGAGAGAATGCTCTTCTTCCTGGGGGATTTGGGGACGTTGTGCATTTTTGGTTGTAGAAAAATGTATACCGGTGTGGTATGTACTGGTGAATGTCGATGGCTCTGCACTGAGTGTTTTTGCAGGTTCCCTCGAGCTTGACAGCACGGGAAAGCCTGTCGGTGGCTTGCTTTGAATCCCCTCACTGGAGCCAAGAGTCTGGGGGATGTTTGATTTTATTCCCAAATGGGTGGTGAGTGATGGTGGCAGTGTCTATAGTGTTGGTGTTCAGGGGTTGAGTGATGGCCAGAAGTGTGCTTTGTTAAGGCGCAAGCGATTGAAGTCGTTCAGGTGGAAACGTTCAGGTGGATTTACAAGGATGGAAGAGGTGTCCCATTCAGTGAAATACGCTGGACATCTCATGAATCTACTTTCCCTAGAACTAACATGGAAGTGGAAAACCACCTGTTTGTAGTGGAAAAGGGTCTTCCAAGGGTCCATTCTCCACTTCCATGTTAGTTGCATGGAGTGTAATCATTATAATGGTGTTGTATGTGGGAGCTTCATGCCTGTCAGGGGCAGTGTTTCGGGAGTTCTGCCGCTTGCATCAGTGTGGCATTGGGACATTTGGGTACATTTGGGTCAACAATATTGGTTGACATTTGGGTCAGGGGTGGTGCTTGGGAGGTTTGTACAGTCGCTGTGGCTTTCGGGGTTGCTGTTTGGGGGGTTGCTTGAAGCTGTGTCTTCACGGCAAGTTTCCGGTAAAATGGAGTTTTGAATCCTCGTGCACATCAGGATTCAATGCATCAAAACCTGCCAAGCGTTGCCGCGTGTTATGAAGTTGTCACCATAATTTGTGTGTGTTGCAGGTGTTTGCAACAGCTCCGGTCCACAAGTGCGTTGCAAACACCGCGAGTGCGGCGTTTGGAAGTGGCAGACAGCAACGTACAACAGTGTCAAGCAGCTCTGCCCAATGTCAAGCAGCTCGAGTGTTCCGCACTTCAAGAGTCGCGGTGATTTGCGAATGATTTGTGAGTGTTTCTTGAAGAGTGTGATGCACAGGTGTCCGACAAGGTATATATCACAAGGGTGTCTTACAAGACTGTGCACAAGAGTGTCACACGAGAGAGTCCGACAAGAGTGTCAGAGAGGAACGCCATACGCTTGCGTGTCCAAAAGAGAGATTCCAACAGTGTTGCACAGCAATGTTCACACATGTTCACACTTGTTCATTTGTAGGATTGGTTTTAGCTAAGGTTCAAATCCAACTCTCAGGTTTCAAGATCCAACTCTCAGCTTCGTTCTCGGCCGTTGGAGCTGCCGCTTGGAGCTCGAGGTGCTGGCTGGGGTGGAAGGCTATGTGCCAAGAAGGGCGACAGCATGATCAAGAGGCAGCGATCTCCTGTGTGTGCGCGTGCGCGGGTGCTACTAATAACAAAGGGCATCGCTTCTAGGAACAAGAAGCTACTAGGAGCTCCTGGCCTTAGTACTAGGAGCTAGAAGCTACTAGTAACAAAGGGCATCGCTTCTAGTGGGTGGGTGGGTGGGTGTGGGTGTGTGTGCCCTAGTGACCGTAGTGACCGTCATGGTGAAACTTTCCCAGCGAAACCATGCCGTCAAAGTACGTAACCTTTGGTTGATACATGTTGATACATTGATATGTGATTTAGGTATATCATATATACACACAACATATTCAGGTTTGTCAGCAGACTGGACTGTGGACTATTCCCCTTTGTCCTTCAAATGTTGGCAAGCAAGCCTTTCACTCAGCCGTGTGAACCAATTGGCCGACAAGACCTAGCAGGTGACATTGTCAACATTGTCGAAGAGATACCTGAGGTGGCTCAAGAGGCAACAAACTAGATTCGATGTTAGGGATGTTTATGGAACAGTTTATAAATGTATAAGTCAGTGTGTATGTATATATATATATATTTATATAATGTAACATTTCAACATGTATATGTATAATATATATAATATTAGTGTATGTTTCATGAGTTTACTTTGGGATACGAACTTCCCAGGCACACGCCGCCAGATGCTTGCGCTGCCACCCAAGGAGCCAAGTCGGGGAGTCCTAGGCGTTGGTTTTGGAGTGCTCTTGAAGTCTGAGAGTTTTTACCCTGGGATTCCCATTATCACTATTGCTGGCAAGCAGTGGTTCCAAAGGCTAAAACCATGGAGCTTAGAACCGCTGTTTCCTTTTTATATAGTGGCAACTTGGATTCACTGGGTTCGGGTTTCCCCAATGATCGCCTGAAAAAAAGGAAAAAACGCGAGCTTTGATACTTGCACTCAAGATATATCTTCTGTTTGAACAGTCGATCCTAAAAGGTCCACCCTCCGCATTTCGCCTTCCACACTTGTGGAGACGTCCACCGACGTCTCCACACCGAACCGACGCCCGTCGCTTCACTCCCCCCACATCGGAGTGATGTCCAACGACCGGAGCCCGGCGACCGGGCGGCGACCGGGCGGCGACCGGGGCGGCTCGGAACGCGTCTGGTGTGAAGCAAACCCCACCCCTTTAGCATCTGAAGCTGCATCTTGGTAGACGTTCCGGATTTGGAGCTGGCGAAATTCTTGGGATAGGGGCTACACTACTGCAATGTTGAAGAAAGAAAACCTCCAAACGATCCCACCTGCTGAAAAATACGCAGCGGTCATATTTTGGGGCCGGGCCAGGTGGTGCAAAGGTTTGTTCAAGTCAAGAGGTGTTGTGGTCCTCTGAAGAGTCGATGTTGCCTAGCTTGTGTCCATATCGACATCACACCGGTAGGCCCTCCAGTCATCCGTTCATCCCCTTGATCTACCCTGGATTCCTTGTACAATTGGGCTCGGAAAACGGTGAAACCATGGTACGAGACACTCCATGGATGGCATTACATTGGGGTGGTTGAAAAGGGGTCAATGGAGGCAAGATGTCTGAAGTGTTTTTTCCATGTCGATGTCGTTTAGTTTCTTCGCAGATGCTCTTCGATGCGCGCGAACAAATCACCTTCACCTATACATGGCGTTACTTTTGAGTCGAACGACGAGCAAGCGGCGCCAGCCGCAACGCTCCAGTCTCAACGGTGGGGTGCAAGTTCCATTGAGGGAAACTGACATCGCAACTTATTCGGACCAGGCCTCACTGAAAGTTCTCAATGAACGTCCCAGTTTCGCACGACAAGCTCGTTGGGGGTTGGATGGGTTTTATTCAGAACACATTGGGAGTGATTCAGAATTCAAAGACGAGTCTGGAAAAACGACACTTTGAACATCTTTGAACCAAGGATGGATCCCCTTCCCGTTTGCAAGCAGCTCTGCGTGAATCAGTTCGCCACGGCCCAAAATGCGCCTGGATCTGCAGCCTTTGGCATGATAAATCGGCGGGAATCCTTTTGGCGAACCCAGGGTGAGTTGTCTTGCATGTGTTCCTGATAAATCAGCTCAACAAATGAACCGGTTTTGGGAGTGGAAGGCAAGATTGTCTCTATAGACGTGTCATCGAGGAATCTGTCGCACCCCCACGAACCGGAAGGCTCCGGTCGAGCCGTCCCGGTCGCCGATGGCGCCATCGGCTCCCGGCTGGACGCCGTCCATGCGAACGGTTCCCAAAACGACATGGGCGGAAGCAGTGTCGGCATTGGGTCCTTGGTGTAGTATTTGTCCCAGCGGATCCCAGTTACCACTATGTCACGACGATGTCACTATGTCGGAACCAAGCTTTCATCCACGAACCACGGAATTGGCTCGTTTTTAGAACCTGATATTTATATGTGTTTTTGGTTAATATATAATATAACAATAATAGTTGTAACATGTCCTACCGGTCACTGGATCCACTCAAAGTCTCTTTTGGCCATTTCACCCCCCACAGCTATCCACAGCTACCCTTCCGATGGCCGATCGCGCCCACCCGCGGCTCCCAAAGGTGGTGGAGGAGAATTGCGATGAGCCGGGAGCCTCGGCGTTTGGGTGGAGAGAGCTGAGAGCTCCAGTTGTAACACCAATTCCCCTCGAAAGTCGCATCGTTTCAAGGTGTTTTTCACTCTTCAGGAGCTGCGCCGCTAGAGTAGGGCACCGTCCGATTCCTTACTTCACCAAGTTCTTTGAATTGATGTGAATTCAGAAGAATGTAGTGCTATTCCCAGATTTGGAGATGTACAGAGAGTGCAGAACTGGTTTCTGCTCCGGACCTGCGGGCCCCTCTCAGAGCATCACAATCGATCGAACATTCGGCAGAGTTGAAGAATTGGTCCATTTTCCGAAACAAATGCAGTGGACTCCAGTGGTTTTGTTGATGCCCCAAGCTCGATGCTGTTCATTGTAGAAAACTCTTTGTCTAGAGCGCAAGGCACGCCTTGATGCAACGCTGCCACTGGTCACCTTCATGCTCCTTGTGCTTTTTACAAAGCTGCATAGAAGCGCAGCAATGCGCAGCATGCTGCATGCCAGGTGCTTCGTGGGAGAGGAATGTGGCTGCACTGTGTTGGGCTCTCAGATGGTGGGGAGGGAACCGAGGCATTGTTTTCAACTGGCATCGATTCTTTGCTTCACAGGATACCTTGAAAGTAGAAGCATGATGAAGCATGTAAAGCTCAAGAAGCAGCAACTGGTATGAGGTCATCTTTTAGTATAGAAAAGATATCCATCAGAAAGAACATGAAAGAACCTTTGAAAGAACCTTAAAAGAAGGTTCTTGTATAATTCCTGTTTGTGGAACCGGGGATGTGCGTGTTCAGCGTTTTTCCGAGGAGGTCACATTTCGACTGCCGGAAGACCAACCTGCAGAAATCCATTCTTCACCAAGAATCCCAAGACACTCGGAGTGGTTCCTATCTAGGTCCCTAGGTCAAGAGACATGTGGATTCACTAAAAATGCACCATGACTTTGGTGAAAGAGCACGTTCAGGCAGTCAACCTGCATTCTGAGGAAGTGCGAGGAGGGCATGATTCAAAAGTCAGGCGCCAGAACTCCCGAGTGGTTAAGGACCGGTTCGCTACCGAGCGCATTGAGCCTCGGAGTCCGTCCGAGCGCTACCGACGGCCGACGGGAGCGGACGAACTCCTGGCGCCCGTCTCTGAGCAGACCACGTTAGCAGACACGTGTTATTTAGAGAATTCGCATGATCGCGTAGTACCTGTAGCGAACTTGGAGCTTGGTAGAACTCCCGTGGGAATGGGCCATGGCCCTCCTTGTGGGGACCCTCCGAGTTTGGAGGTACCTCATCCGAACCCGAACCCAGACTCAACCTTGTGAGTCAGAGAAGGACAAAATGGAAAAAAAAATCCAAGTGACATTCCACTTTAATCCGACGGCCAGACCTACCCGGTCGTGTGGATCACTGAGAACACCATACCATCACCTCTTCTGGGGATGGTTTGGGGCCCCACGGTGAAACACACCCGTGAAACACGGAGGAGCCGAACTGGGTTCACCGAACTCCGGAGCCGTGCGGCTCGGACTCAGACGCTTTCACTTCGAAGACGCCATCGTGTCCAGGCCATCCTGGTCGCCTGTGTGACACCCATCGTCGGTGTATATAGGGGGGGCCGTTTTCGATGGTGTGACACCCTGGGTCTTCACAGGTGAGAAAGGCTCAAAGAAGTGCGGTGATGCTGTGAGCTCAGCTGTGCTGAGAGAGTCGGAGATGCTCCATCTCCCCCTTTTAAAGAACCCGGCGGGAACCTCTCGCGGGAGTTCGATGGGAACCAAAGACGGCTGGGTGATTCACTGGCAGTTGTGGTTAAAGGTAGTTGGACCAGTCTAGTCATCAGGGATGATTCTGATAGACTGCTCGGATTCTTGGACTGCTCGGCAACTGACCGCACGGCTGATAGAAACATGTTGGAGCAGTCTTAGACTGACACATTGTCACATGTGTTTTTTTGCAGAAAGTCATGCTTCACAAGCACAAGCACTATGCTTCAACCTTGAGCAGTTGTCATAGATTGATAGATCATCATCATAGATCCAGATGTGCGTGAGGGCCGATTCTTGTTTTTCTCCTCAAGTAAGTCCCATACAGCTAACGTTGGTTCCTGTTTGCAAGCGCTGCTCCCTTGGAGCCAGAGTAGATGAACTGGGCCGTCCTTGATCTTGAGAAACCACATATTTCTAATCTAGCTTGGTGATGCCAAAAAGTCTCCCAGAACAATAGGAAGCATTTAACAATCCAGTTTCGTCCAGTTTCTACAAACTACCAACAACCTGATTCCTACTATCTTGCAAGCGCATTTAGTCCTAAGAGAAGCACATGGACCTTTCCGCCTAGGGTGAAGACAAGACCTCCTTCGGTGAGCCCTTGGCCTTTTGGATCGAAACAGAGCGGGTTCGGTGACCGGCAAGCTGCTGAGGGGTCGGGGTCGGTGGGTGGCAGCTGACGGGTCGGTGACCGCTTGCTGCCGGAGACCAAACGGCGAGTGGGCCGTGATGCAGCCGTCGTTGATCTGATGGACCTTCTGTCGGACCTTCTGCCCGAGACAAGCGTTGTAAAGCGGTGCAGATGGTTGAACCGAAGTGGTGGAGACAAGCCACGTGTAGAGAGATTCCATCCAACCCGAAAGTCCGGGTGGGTGGGTTGATGATGTTCTTTTGATCGCCCGAAAGATACTGCACGGGTTTGGCCCAAATCTCTACTCGGAGGAGCCTCGATATGGGGAAGACCAGACATGTTGGCAACGCAGCACAGATAACACCAAGCTCAGGTTCCGATTTTGCTTGGCAGTTTCCCCACTAGCAATTCGATGCAATTCGTGTGAAATGGTCACACTTACGTCCAAATTCTCTTTTGGATCTTTTGGTTTATCATCCCGGCACTACGTCAGAAGGGTCCCGCCTCGCACATGAACACCTGAAACGGGTCCGCGGTAGAGCCAGCAGCTGACGGCCCCATCAGGTGTGCGAGCCCAAGAAGCCGCCAGAGGTGCGCGTGCACGAGCTGGGAGGCATGGAGTGGAAGGGCCAAAGCCGCGAGCTGGGAGGCATGGAGTGGAAGGGCCAAGTGTCTCGCTCCTGAAATCCAGGAGTTGACCCACGTTTCAGTATACGGTATACAGCTGCTTATCCCGCCGTTGCGTTGCGAGTCTTTCATTCCTTTGCGTATGGAAAATTGCTTGACCTAATTACCAGTTCGATCAACCCCATTTTTAGAGACGACAACAACAACAACAAACGACATCAAACGACTACAAACCCTTTTTTCGGGCAAATGGGGACGTTACTAGTAACAAGGTGCATTTCTACTAGGAACAAGAAGCTACTAGTAGCTCCTGGCACCGCTACTAGTAGGGGGTTCGCGCTCTTTCACACGGCACAGCTCGCAGGTGCCGCGCTGTCCGACTCCCAGGGATGTCGCTTGGAAGGTGAGCGGCTGCAGGAACTGCAAGGCAGGGCTGGCAGAGGTGTTTGTTTCTTTTCCCCGTTGGCTGAGGTGATTTCTGACTGTTTATTTGATGCACCACAGTGAAACAAACCATGAAACATCATGAAGTGCACCTGTTCAAAAGAAAGCTATGATAGGCCTTCTTTGCCGCATGCCGCATGTGCCTATACATCTATAAGGGCCATATGTAGTGGCAGTGTTATGTGATCATTGATGATTGTGCAGTGGCCCCATCACTCGTGTGCCCCATCCTAGCATTCACCACGAGGTGATTTTGCCAAGCGGGGTGATTGTTGCTGGGGTCAAAGCCTCAATATGTTGTATGTCAATCAACTGGAAATCCAAAGGCTGATGTATTTTGAAGGCGGATGGTGGGTATACTACTGCCCAACAAAAGAAACATGCATATTTTAAGCTTGTGTCCCAATACCAGCAACATCCAGTAACAGTTGGTAAAATAATATCACTATGTTTTTGCAAATCTGTTCTAACCATCGTTATAATCCACAGTTACCGGTAATGGATGTAAATATATAAACCAAATATCGTGTTTTTCCTTGGGGTGATCCGGTGTTCAACCACTTGGTTCAAAAGATCTCCATTAGTTGGCTACTCAGGAACCACTCGAACTTGATAGAGGGGAAGCCCAAACTCCCCCAGAAGCAATAATGGTTCCTTTGTTCTACTCAAGTAGGTTTAACATTGAAGACATCGGATTTGCATTTGAGCGACCCAGTTCTTTTGATTAGGGCAAAACGCATCAAAACTGCCCCCCCCCCCCCCCGAGCGCTTCGCGGGGCGAAACGTGTCCCCGACCGGTCTTTGGATCGAGCGACGGTCAGGCGGGTGACAAGAACTGCAAGTGCGACGTTCGCTGTGAAACAGGTCACGTGCAGCATACATCGTGAGTTGGTTAGACCATGTTAGACCTGGGAGCGATGTGACTGGAAGGGAGTATGTGTGTGTGTGTGTGTGTCCAACCCTGGACAAAGGGTCTTCCACCACCACTCTTTCTACCCTACATGAGCAGGGGGACACAGCATTTCACTGGGACTGTGTCCACCGAAGCTACCAGTGAAATGGGATATCCAGCTTGGCCAGCTGGACGTACCTGCTCGGTTTTTCACAAGCTGCCACACCACTCTTCCGCGTTTTGCTTCATGGTTCTTCATGCTTCCACCCCCAAAACATCCGCTGAGTTGAGCCGATATGCAGCCGAGTCAAGCGAAACAATCGATGTTAAAACACTTCCAAGTTATCGGACTCTTCGCCATGCGGTTCTATCGCCTTCCTTCCCACCGAGACAATTGCGTTAACTGAAAAAACCCAAGTTCGAAGTGTGTGTGTTTTCATTGGTTAGACATATAATATAATATATGTGATTATATGTGTGCTAGTTTATGTAGTGTCCATTAGTTATATGTGTTTTGAGGATGCCATGCCAAATTGACTGCCCACAGACGAGCAAGCACAGAAGGGGCCTGGGGTGGGATTTCTGGTCAGTTGCAATTGGCTTAAGAGGGGCCAATTCTACTTGCTATAGCTTTGTATTCCAATCCCCATTTACCATCCCTTACTGACCGACTGCTGTGTGTGTGACACCGATTAGGAGTTACTGGCGTTGATACTCGTTCTTGGGGTGAATATCAATGGAACGAGCTGCAGAAGTTCAAAAGACATCGACAAAATTCGACAAATATTGCCTTCTGAGGAAACAGGTCAATCCTACTGTACCTCCAAGAGATCGAAGCTTTGTTGGACTCTGAAAAAATAAGAAACAGTTGTGCGAACCAGACATCGCTATGGCATGGCACAGCACCGTCGTCGAGTCGTAGAACCTTCCGACCTCTCCCGAGACCGTCCGGTGGCGCACGAGGGCCGAGAACATGATCGGTGTCATGTCGCTGACGACCATGTTCATCAGTTCACAGCTCAGGTCACCAAGACCAAGAATTCAGCTTCAAACTAGTGGCATTCTTCACACCTCCACTGGGTCTATGAAGCCCATGGATGCCCATCACACACCTTCACCAGTGTCCATCACACCTTCACCGCTTCGAAACACCACCCCTCCCGGCACCTCACCGCCCCTCGCGTGACTTGCCGTGTGTAACCGTGATCCAGGTTACAAACACACTGGAGGTGGTGAACCAGGATCGAAGGAGTGCGTCTCGAAGATCTATGAGTGTGCACCCAGGTGCGCGAACTCGGTGGGGAGCGGAGGGAGTGGCCGGGGAGTTGGAGAGCAACGGGCATGGCGCCACCATGGATCCTTTGGGGAATCACAATGTTCGTTGCAGGGGCAGAGCCTTCAACATCCCCAGCCACGGATCCGAACAGCCCATCTGAACAGCATGGAATGGCCTTGTTGGCCTGAAGTTTTGCAATGTTCTCACGTGGCTCCTGAGATTCGATGGGGAATCTAAGCACTGAAAACATGGCACTTTCTGAGGGCATGGCCTGTTGTGTTTGTCGGACGGAAGCACCACGGCATCCGCCTCAGTTTGACTTGGAAAGACGGGCAATGCTTAGCTGGTGGCAAGTCCGGGAACCCAAAGCGTCCCGGCGAAGGGTCCGATGATGGACATCCCAATGCAATATGGATGCAATCCCGGTTTGACAGATGTATGTTTTTATATACGTAATTGACAGATTTCTTCCAAAGACACACACACTTTTACTGAAGGGCTTTTAGCTGGCGCCGAACCTTTTTGTTCTCAAGCATTGTTGGGAGGTTTGTCAGGGCCCTTGGTTGGCGCCGTTGAGGAGCATGACATTTGTGGGTGAGTGGATGAGTGATTAAAGTTAGGGAGCTGGCCGGTTACTCGAAGGTACTGGTTGGAAACATTGGTGGGTTATCCGGTGGGCATTTGGTCATTGGGCAGGTTCATTATGTAGCAACAAGATTGCCTTTGAAAGCCAAACACATCCGCTAGAAACTTAGTTTTCTAGCTCTAGATTGCAATCCCTAGTTTTATTGTAGAGTACAAAGCTACAGTGCGTTTCCAAACCACTTGTGTCCCGTATACCACTAGTAGTTACTTCACAAGTTGGGAGAGGACCCACTTACTTCAGTGCAGCAAAATGACACCCACAACCTCCAAAGTTCCCGTGTAATGGACAGAAGCCCCAAACAAAAACACACAAGAATCAATTCAGTCATTTCTAGAACTTCGTTACGGCAAAACAAATGGCCGTTGTCATGAAACGTTGTCTCTTCCTTTTGCCTTATTGCCTTACTATTGTATGTAATATATGATACATTATTTTTGTTCAAATAACTGTGAACTGGGACTTGAATCCGCACATCGAATCCTCCTTGGCCATCCGCCACGACCAAGCCTAACCCGGAAACTAACAAGGTGGATGACCGTTGACCGGCTGGCTTTCTCAACCGATCCGCAGAAGGGAGGGAAGGAGCTCACTAGCTTTTGTTCCAACATTTTGCAACTGGCTAGCAACCTTTCTTAACTCCGGACTGGAATTGGAAGGGGGTTCTCTTCAAGGCCGGAGTATACCTTTTGCTGCCACGAAGCCATCGAGGGCACCGTGGAGCTAGGCCTGGTTCCGCGTTCGCCGAACGTTCCGCGTTCGCCCTTTCCAGTCTGTTTTTGTTCGGCGAACTGAGGAACACTAACTCGGCCCTGCTTGGGGTGCCACTACCACTATAGGCAATGGATACCCCTAAATGGCTTGACAAACATTAGACAATCATCCATCAACTGTCAACGTTAGGCCTTGATAAGCCAGCATTCTGCATTCTCCACAAACACCCACCACCAGAGGCGGTTTGGAACATGAACCCATGGAAGGCGATGTTCCACCTCTCCCAGACCCAGTCCACGTTGAAGATTTCCTTTTTGGCCCAGAAAACGCCCGTGGTACCGGAATCCGAACAAACCGGCGAGGAGCTCCGGTCCGCACCCGGTCGCGACCGGTCTCGACCTCCTCGACCTCCGCACGACCGGATGCGGCGGCCCTTCGTCGCCAGATGCTTCGAGCGACTGCGCCAGTTTGACGAAAGAGAGGTTGTGCTTGGGTGGGAAGGAGAGGCCCTCAGTCGTCGTCGGTTCACGTGTCGAGTGTCCGGCTTGTGGAAACCCAGCGTTTAGGGTGTTTAAAGGTGGTGACATGTAGTGGCCATGGGGGTCTATCATCAATTAAAGCACCCTTGCGGACATGCTGACGTAACGATCTTAAAGCCTCTTCGGTGTTGCAGAGTCATCAGTCGTCTCCCTATATCACTTTGCAGAAACCCAGCCTCTATTATAGATGGGGTCCCTTCTGCTTCAGGTCCCTTCTAGAAGCAGAACATGTTGAATGTCCGCATGCTTTTGATGAACAGATTCAGGGCGATTGACGAATAGTTCCGAGCCAGAGTAGTCAGCTCTTGCATTGGCACCACTGGTGATACACAAATCCATCAACCGGTACTGTAAAATAAACTTGCCTCACTTGGCTGGTTTGTTCGGCTTTCAACTTCCTTGAAGGAACTCAGAGATACTCAGAGAGGTCTTGTTTTCCCAATGATAGGAATGTATTGCTTCAGAGGATGAAGTTTTGACTGAAAGGCCAGACTAAGCAAGCAGCTTGCATCCAGCAGCCATGAGTTGGCATGGTCGGCTAAATATTGGTTGGGGGTTGAAAAATGTGTGAAGAGTCGAGCATGAGTTTGTAGGTCTCTTAGGAATACAGAGTCTGAAGCAGGTAAACCAGCCCGACTGGCGACCGGCAGGTGGAGTCTTGTGACTTGATTTGTATAACCGTCTAACCTCTCTGAGCACAAGAGCTTTAGCCTGAACGAGGGCGCTCCTGTTCTGATCACAGGCTATAGGCGCACAAAAGGGTGGCATGGCTATAGGCTTAGATGATCCCACACCCTCTCTCCCATACAGAAACAAGCCTCACCAAAACAAAGCTAGAACGCACAAAGCCGCTTCTTGGATGGGTAGCCAGCTGGGAGCATTCAAATCTGGGATCAACGTTTTTGCACGTGTCAGGGCCCTCGACGAGTGGGTGCCTTCTCGGCGTCGTGATGATAGCTGTGCTGGAGCTGTGATAAGAACACATCCTTTCTGCTTGCAGTCGCATCATTTTTCCCGGGCCTGCGGCTCGCTGGCTGACACTGAACATTTTTGGTGGTGCTTTGTGCTCACAGAAGACATTCATAAAGGGGGGTTCTGTTTCAAGCAACGACCTTCATGAATCAAGCCCCGCACTCAGGTAAAAGGGCTTGCATTAAACGAAGTCCCTGCTCAAGTAAAACACCTTCAAGGCCCATGGCTCCATTCACCCAACCCGTAAATACTTGGCTCTTCGAAACGGCACACATCACTACCTTTCCAAAATTTCCTCTATGAGGCATATTTTGCCAAAGACGGCTTGTCTTTTCACGACAAGGTGGAATCTGGCGAGGATATAGACCAAAGGAAACCGTTTGTACCGAGCATACGGAGCCCAATTTCCTCTGATGAACAACGTTCACAAAGTCACTTGTTTTGCCGTTGGTTTCCGGCATCTGAGGTGAGTAAGAGGGAGCGTTTGTTCGCACTACTTACCGTGGATTTTTTGAGTGATCCTTGCGGAATTGACTTGCACCGTTGGTTGTGTCAAGCGAAGAGTATGCGCAGTGGTGCTGACCATCAGTTTTTTTGGGCGGTTGTTTTGCTCAAGCAGCCGGCGGCTTAGGTGGGCACATATACTTGACCTCGCTATGAGCGGAAACCTTTTCAGTATAAGGCTTAATGGAGGCTGACGTTGCGCCACTTGGTTGACTGACGCATTGCCCAGGATCTGACCACGCAAGAGGCCGGCGGATGGTGTTTCGGTGTGAACTAAGACTGGCTTGGCCTCAGTATGCCTCATTTGAGGCTTAAAAGCAAGGTGAATTTTGACATTATAGCGTATCGATATGTGTTGGTTGGTGCCGTTTTTCCGCCCTCCCAATTATGTTGTTTGATATATTGGGCATATTTGGGCATATGTAGTCATCAAGAACACATGTTTTTGTGGTTCGTGGCATATGTGCACAAAAAACATTCGGACAACAAACAAATTTGATCAAGTTGGTACAAACGCCAATACTTTAAGTTAGTATGCATGTTCAAAGTGAGAGTTATCAGTGAACGTGTTGTGATTCAGGACATGTTTCAGCCGGTGCAAAAGCTGAACAAAACACGTTTGGACCCGACGGCATTATTAATTTCACAAAGGTTTGTGGATGATCCTTCTTTTTTTGTAAGACACGCCTCGTCATGCCTCGGCTACCAACAATTGAAAAATAATCCCTACCCCCTTACCCATGGAGTTGAGGGGGGACGTCAAAAATGTGAATTACATTTTCTGGGGTCCCCCCTAGGGGTGTTTTCAATTGTAAGTTACCCCCCCTTGGCGTCCTTTTGTGGGGGGGCTCAAAAATGTAACTTAGAACGTGGGAGACCTGTACATACATGTATCAACTTACTTTAGGATTGGCCTTCAGGGAACTCCGAGACATGCGATACTATTCCACGAAGCCTCAAATATGTAGTTTACATGTTTGGAATGTAAGTTACATTTTTCTGGCCTATGGGATGTCTGACCAATTGAGAGCAAACCCTTATCAGTAAACATGAAGCCCAAGTACATGACCCTAGACCCTTGTACTAGCACTTGCAAGTTCGTACCATGTATGAGTCCGAGCGCCGTCATTAACTGTTTTCCGGCAGTCGCTGCTATGAACGCAGAAAATACGACATGCGTGCGTGGCGCCACCTCTCACACTTCTTGGCAACAGCTGGCAAGCTAGTTGCCTTTCAAGAAACTCTACTATGGATGCTCCTAAGGCGTAACAGGCCTCAGAGTGCAGTGAACTGCTCGACCCTATGAGAGCGAGCTGCTGGATCTCCGCTCAACACTAGCCAGGTAAGTTTACAAAACCTTGCCAACTGACAAACTTATTCACATAGGCTGTTGTAAGTTACAATTTGTCAGGTGAATTAGTCTTTGTAAGGTACATTGATTGAGGTATCAAACCTAGGAAATTGTAACTTACAATTAGGTGACGCCTTCTAGGTAATCGGTAAGGTTAAAATTTAACAGGTTTCAATACACATGGGACATGATGTAGTGCACATGTGCTGAGATGAATCACCTTGAATAAAGGACTGTGTACTGATTTGCCGGTAATCCCAAAGTTGTCCAGCACGAATGTCGACGTCGGATTAATCAACAGGCCCCCCTTCAAGGTCAACAAGGTTCGAGATTGGAGGTATTGGACGACCACATCCCCCTAATAAAGGTGATGACCTGATGATGGATGATGAAATGATGACAAGATTAGGAAAGATTGGGAGTGGGATGATTAGGACAGAGATGAACGAGATTGGGAGACATTGTTTTCTTTGATGAAAGAGATTGGGATGATTAGGAAAAGAAAGAGGATTGCAGAATGAAAGAGATGGAAGGCACGATGGAGGCCACAGGGTGGGCTTGATTAATTGAGGGGAGGGGCCCCTACTATTAGAGGGGGGCAGGGCCTGGGTGAGGGATACCCTTTGTGAGCTTGGAAACCTTAAGATTTTGATAGAGTTTTAATCAGGGAAAATTAGCGAATTGTGGGAAGGATGAGAAGAAAAAGCAGGATGAGAAGCAGAAGGAGGATGAACATGATGGATGAGTGGACCAGAAGATATTGGATACTGACCAAAAGAATGTAAATAATAAGTGATTATATAGATATATATCGGTGGATGTCAAGGTGGAAATGCAGGCTTTAAATTAGTGTAGTATTGGGGGTTCGAGCTGGGTTTTATGATAGGAGGGGTTCATTAATCCTATGTTGACATTACGCAAATCACAAATCAGGGGTTCTATGTGGGTGGTTCTTGAAGAGGCCGTTTGGCCAATGAAATCCACCCAACATGGAACCCTGGTTTGGGTGTTGTTTCTGCGAACATGTTCGGTGAAACATTTCTCGCGGAGACAAACCATTCGCAAAAAACACAACTGGTATCGCATTTTCTGTCCCGCCCGAACCCTGGGCCACGTTTGTGGCACAAGTGGACCGCTGCGAAAACATCGAAAACTGCGCCAGGCCGGGATGACACAATCGTCTCACAACCATCAGGACTAAAATGGCTGGTCTAGATTGTTTAAATGGCCAAAGTTTTAGTCGTCGTTGCATCAAACAAGCTTTGCATGCACAAAATATACATCTTGACTTTGCTGGGACATGCCGGGACTAGCCTTTTTGCAGGGGTGGGTGTTTTCTTCATGCAACCACACACTCAATGTGACATGAACGTTTATCACATGAGTGTGGTTTCAAGAAGGCGTGTGGTATGTTTCTGTGCGTTCAAGCGTTTCCAGGGGCAGTTTTATGTTGGTTTGATCCCAATCGTATTGGAAGTTCTGGCAATCCTGGACGTGTTTCTACAATTTTTCAGCGGCACAACTTATTTTGGACATAATTTTGGAATAGAGTTTCACCCAAAAAGAGCGTTGTTCTTAGGCCAGAAACATCCCACCATGGAATCTCATGAGTAATCTCATGTTCCATTCACTGGGCCCAGTCGTGTCCCATTGTGTAACTTGTTCGTTTGACGGAATCATGTTTGATGTTTGTGGTATCATCGCAGCCTCATGTTTTTTGAGAACTCAGAAGTTCCTTTCTGGCGGTGGAGAAAAACAGAGCTGGACATCTGAATTTATATATTTTTCCAAAAATATATACTTTGACAGGTGGTTTGTTTGGAGCCACAACCACTTTCCTGGCTTAAAATCGTGTAATACATCGGAGGCAGATTGCAGGGTGTTCTTCTCATTCTCATCCCCCCTCTTTGCAGGTGTCCCAGTCTGTCCGCTCCCAGTCATTGCTCCAGAATCAGTGGTGTTTTCGTAGAATCCGATGCCTGTGAGGCTTGCTGTTGGAGAGCTGAAGGCTTTACAGATGGGAAGAAGTGCCTCAACTGAAAGGGGCAGGGAACCGAGAGGACCGGCCCCCCTGTGCCATGCAGCCTTCTTTTCGGGCACGGCACGGCTTTGCTGCTGATGAAAACGGCACGGCAGCCAGAGAGTTGATTTGAAGGGCGACTCCACATCAAACATACCTGAACCTTCCAAGGGGTGTCTAATGGAGGTCCATAAGCAGCGCAGTCGACATGCATCCAATGAAAACGCGAAAGTTGTCTCAGCCTTTGGGACAATGGACACGGACATGGATGCAGCTAGATGCTCCTGTGGCCTTTGCTGAATGCCCCCCCATAGCACGGGCTTGTAGAATATGACGCATTATTTTCCTTGAAACCTGCCAAGCCAAACTTATAGAGTTAATTAGAGTTATAACATATATATATAATATATCCTGGATCCTCCTTTGGGCGGAAAAAGTGCCGGACCTCAATCCGGCAAAATTTTCCGCCGGATTCCGACTGAAAAAACATCCGGATACAAGATTCTGAAAAACAGAGATGATAAAAGGTTGGATCATACACAAGCAAACTGCCTTTGCGCCACGAGTAGTTTTTTCTGGAACACACTCGAACCTTCCCGTTCCCATTGCCCTCGCCCATCTTCCGAATGGCCTAAGAGCAGAACCATCACAAAATATAAGCAACTTGTGTCCAAGCAAAGACTTCCAAGAAGAAACCAAGGAGCATGTGGCAATGAACTCATCTTTCTCTGCAACCGTGTCTCTAAAGTGTTTTCTTTACAAAGTGGGTTGCTCTCCATGATTCTTATGCTTCTTAATGTTTCTTTAAAGCTTGCCTCAGGACGGCCCCCCAATAAAGTAGCAGAACTCATGGTTCCTGTCAAAACTCTTCTTTGAAAAACTTTTCAAAGTCAAAGCCTGCAGAAGACTCAGTCCAAAAAAATACGTCGGAGTTACGGGAAATTACGCCGGAGTTACCGGAAATTACGCCGGAATTACGGGAAAATACGCCGGAGTTACGACGTGCCATTTTTTGACAACTCTCTGTAAAACATTGAGATTCTGAACAACACATGTTCCACAGCCCAAAACTTGTCCGGCAGGCTCTGCAAACCTGCGCATATATCCCAGCGCCCCGACATCCTGAAACAATGGGAGTACATTTTTGCCTATGCTCTTTCAGCTTAGGTACGGGTCTTTCAACAGGTGCATCGCACTGTACCGGCTTCATCCGACTTCATTTAGAAGATCACCTAAACGGATCTGATTGATCCAGTGTGAACCATGCTGAAACCGGTGGAATGAGAAAACAGCGGAAGAGGCAAACGAGCACACTTTGCAAACAAAATCATTGCATCAGTAGTGGGTTTACCTTCAAAGAAATGCAGACCACAAAGAATGCAAAGCCTTGAGAATCCACATAAAGTGACTTGGAAAAAGCGCCGGACCAAATCCAGAAAAACGCCGGAATTGGAAGTCCGGCGCCGGACCCTGTAAAAGTGCCAGACTGAAGATCTACAGTAGGTATACGACACCAATTCACCACCTCTAGTCCTATCACAAGATGACGGTTTCAGTCTTGAGTGAACTTCAAACCATTGAGTAAAACATGTCAAAGACAAGACTGGAAGTTGCAGTCGGAAGATAACACCTGCCCTACAATGAATACTTGTTTTTTGCGGCCAAAACAGTCCAGGTGTCAGCTGCTTCTACAAAGGCAGTAGAAATCGAAGTGAACAACCCCCTGTTTGCAGAGGAAAGTCTTTCCAGGGGCCATGGTCCACTTCCATCATTGTTGCAGGCAGGGTCCCTTCAGAGAAGGGGTTTCTGAACTGAGCTAATAGAGGAGGGAACATCCTGTGCCCCACCACAGCTGTCCTCGAGGTGCGCCGCCCGTGGCTCCGCCGTGATTACAAACGACCACCGCGTCCAAGCCTGTTGGGGCGCCCCAGAGATGGGCGGATTGAGGCGCTTGGGGGTGCCCGATCTCTGAGCCATTGATCATCGAAGCGTGGCCTTGAGGGTTTAGATCGTGAAGCACAGTCGATGGAGCTTTTGAGCCTTGAGGGTCTTTTCCAAGCTGGACTTCACCGGACTCCAACCGGACTTCATCCAACCAAAGCCTTTGCCGCTCGGATCCACACCCAGGCGCCGATCGACCGAAGATCCTCTGGGGCCTCTACGAGGCGATCGCTCCGCGATCGGTCGCAACGGTCGGGGCCGGAAGGAGCCGCTCGGAAGATCGGAGTTGGTTGATGTTGGTTGTGTCGCTATGGTTTCTTTTTTGGAAGAATGCAAATGGACTTTTGAAGAGATCCCTTTGTTAATTGGTAGGGGTTGTCTCTAGATCCTGAGCTGTTTGGAAGGTGACAGGACGACTGTGGAAGTAGTCCGAGTGCCATTTGGTCGTTTGTCAACGCCGGGGTGAGTTCGACACGACCAGTGTGGGCGTTTGGCTAACCCAAGACGCCAGACAATCTGTTGACCTGGACCTTCCAAGGGGTGTCCAATAGGGATCCATATATAACAGAAGTACAAGTGTCCGGGCTTCCAGGTGACCCCGGAAGGTGCTGGTAGGCATTCACCCAACACCACCACATGTAGGCCTGCCATGGATCAATAGACCTGGAACAGGCTTAGGCAAGCATGGCAAGCCTCCACTGGTGAAGCCTTCTATTCAGCTTGCCTGTGTTTTTCTTTTCTGATTTCGGTGCATGCTCCGAATATCTTGATCAAAGGGCTGAGGACTTGCTAAGGAGTTCCTGTACATCACATGCTAAATTGGCCAGACCAAGCCAGGACTCACTCTGGTTTGTAACCCCAGAAACAGAGGTCCGAGACTCCGGGGTTCGGATCTGGTGCAAAGCTTCGGTGCCAAGCTCCTGCACAGGACCTTCCAATGTGTCAGGAGAAGTGCCTTGGCAAGTCAGTCACACGCTCATCGGGTCACGTGTCAGTCAAACCTCTCATGATTCGCCCGGGCCTAGAGGTGTGGGGCACAGTGTGTCGGGCACTGAGGAAAAATTCTGCTCGTATAGCATGATTCTATTTCAGTATCAGCATGCACATCTTGAAAGGGACCGGGTGCTCAACTTGACAGGATCGCAGATACACATCACAAGCATCACAAGTCGCTGGCAAGGACGTCCTTTTCGCTTTGGTCATTCTGCCAAACCTGATGAGTCAGGTCCTATCGGATCCACCTTCATTTTGGTGAAAGGGTCTTTAGATCTACCTGAACCCTCCAAAGTATCCTAGAATATCCTAGAAAATGGGACATGACCCTAATTAACTATACAATACTACAGGTCCTTTCTTTCCCAGGTCCTGAGGTACGAACTGAGACTGTATACATTAGCTCATTGGACCTCCAGTCTGTGTTTGTTTTGTTTATTTTGGTTCTTCGCCTGGCTCTTGGGCCCATAATTCCGAACCGGATCTCGTGCGTGGAAAGGGGATGAAAAGGAACATCACGGGCTACTAGGAGCAAGGACGCTACTAGGAACATCATGGGCAGTTTTCCCACCGAGTTTGGATAACTTAAGAACCCACAGCAGTTTCACCATCAATGTAGAAGGATAGGTTGGCTTCTGAAAAGTGGTCACTGGACAAGGCGGATTCTGTTCTTTCTAGTCAATCGCAAGAAATATGCTTCTCTCACTTGGGGATTGACATATAGTCATGTTCCGCCCCCTATGTATAAACGATGATCGTCGTGTGTATTGTTTCAATCTTAGATCCACAGACACCTCAGGGCGTCCCTTCCAAATCCTCCATTTCCCGCCACTCCCCGTGGGCGGCTTCACTCGCCTTCCGCCCTCAGGTGCAAGAACCCCTACCAGGACCGCAGCTCCGAATCCGTCCAACCAAAGGGGTCCCCACCACTCCGGCCCCGGTCTGTCGGAGGGTCTGTCGTGTTTGGGTGGTACCTGTCCAAGCTTTGGCTGATTTGAAGGAAGACCCTGGGCCATCCGGCTCAATGGAACAGCGGCATTGTGGGTGTGGGACAGTGACCATAGTAGAGTTGATGTTAGTTTCCGCAGCACAACCTTTTGACCTGCGGAAGGAACCAGCATCTCTGAAACATCTCTATTTCAGATGTGCAATCAGTATTTCTGTTTTTTTAGCTGGAGCATCCGGCTTTTACAGTTTCGGTGTTCAATCCTGAAGCACATGCAAGATTCAGGATTTGTGTCCAGCAGCCTGCAGGTGACAGAGGTTTCCCACATTTTGGCCCTCCAATGAGAATGCAAAAAGGATTCTGATGGCACCGGTACCGTCGGTTCAACCCTCTCAGTCATGCAGATCAAATTGTCCTGGTTCCTCACTCTCAAGAGGGACGTGACCCGGCTCTCGCCGCTGCTACGCTACGGTGGATGAAGACCGTTACACTTTAACGTGTGGGTGACCCAAAGTAAACAGGGCAACTGCACAGAACATCTAGTAACTCTATATAGTGCAGTGTTGCCGTCTTTGGGAGGTCCAATTCGTGACTCCCACACAACTGACCATCGATTTCACTTCTAAGAAGTGACCCTTCCAGGGTGCGATGCCGGAAATGAGATCCGGCTTAGTTCCAAAAAGACCTTCCGCCGCGCTGTCCTTTTTCTGGCTGCTTCGGGCGGAAACCTTTTTGAAGATCACACAGATCTGTTGTCCGTTGTTGTCCTGATTGATACTTTAGAGGTTCAAACATTTCAGTACAGTTATATATAGAGATGCTTACAGCTTATAACTTATAGCTCTATATATATATATATATCATCTTTGTGCCAGGTCGCACTCATCCGCTCTCGGGTCAGAGCCGCCCTACTTCACCAAAAGCTGCTCTTGCGGAAAAAGAATGCCAAAAACCTCACGTGGTCAGGCAACCTACAAACAGATGATCTACGGGGGCTTCGGCTTGAAGGTCACCGGCTGCGACGACTGCGCAGAAGGCCTCAGTGTTCTTTCAGACGATGAATCCGGGCTCAACCCCCAACTATCTGCATTTGTATGTCTAGTGTTCCGCAAAAAGTTGCTTGTATTCCACGGTCTATAGGGCACCAAAGACGGATTTCCGTGATTTCGACAGCCTGGTGGAGGCGCATCCTCCACAAAGGAGTTCATCCAGCAGACTACAGAAGACTGCCCTGAATTTCAAGGAGTTCCCCTCGCTTTTCCGCTCCACAAAGGGTCGCTCAAGACCCTCCCGCCCAGTCACGGGGTCGCTTTTTCCAACAAACGGCTGCGGAGCGAAGCCGGCGAGTGTTTGGTCGGAAATATACCTGGACCCTCCAAGTACCGAAAATGGGATATACCGTTGATGGAGGAAATCCTGCATCGATAAAGCAACACATGTGAGGTCCTCCAATAGTACAGACCCCCGTGCCCCCCAACTCAGATGCAGGATTTTGGTCGTTCAACTTCTTTCCTCAACTCAATGTTAAAGAGGGAGTGCGAGGGTATACATGAGTTTGTTCGTCCAGTGGTGCAGGATTTTGTCCACTTTCCGAGGTACGAAAGGGTCGACTCCAGGTAGGGACTCCTACTCCTGCTCGTGGCCTTCTCCGACTGCTCGTCTTGGTTCGATACGGCCCTTTCCCGATCCGAGGTGCCTGGCGAGAAGGACTGCAACTGCAAGGTGAACTGCAAGCAAGGCACCGGGTTGGAGAAACGAACAAGCGAGATGGGTTGGGTGAAACTCAAAAAAGCCCAGGCTACAACCAGATGGAAAGTGAGTGATGGAATTGGGGATGGTTCCTGAATATATGATAATATATGATAGTTTCTGGACTTACCTGGGGGTGAAGGAGATAAGCACCAAGCAGAAACTGCAATTGATCAAGTCACTGCTTCTTATCCTGCAAAGGGACTTTGTTGTGCGTGTCCTTAACTTTAAGGCTGCAGAGTATATATCCCAGACGGTCTATGTAATTACAGTAGGCCAGTATGACCAACATGTTCCACCAACAACCAAAAATTTGTAGGCCAGCAGGTATGTTGCAATGAGCTGAAACCTGAGTTGTCAACTACTTTGATTTGCATTTTCCTCTGGACGGTGCTTGGTAGCGCTCCAGAGTTCACAAACCCAAGGGCGCAACTGGTACGACCAAGACCTGTGCACTTTTTTGGGCATCCTGCATTGGATACAGAATGCATCAACCATACCCACGCTTAGTGTGATGTACAGGCTTGTGCACGAATTCTGCCATCTGCATGTCCCTAGCAGTCCCTATCTCAAGAACTCGATAGTTTCTCCGGCTACGCTCAGAAAAATGCCAGCAGGCTATGTCCATGTCGGTGGAGGAAAGGAAGACAAGGATGGCATGTGCCTGGGCGAAGCATGCTGATCATGGTGTGACTGGGAATCCCAGCGCTTGCCTTTTGGAAAACACGCATGTTTTAGGAGCTATCGCCAAACTTAGAACTGCATGGTGTTGCAGTTCTTCATCGGGAAAAACAGGCACAATCAGGCAGCTGTGATCAGAGGAAAGAGAAAACTCACCAGACTGTTGTGAGCCATGCGGTTGCTGACATGGAGGCTGAGAAGAGCATGCCAATGCCAAGTCATGTTTGTGTGCAACAAGACAATACCACCCGTTTTATGGGTGCAATCAGTGGACAAAGGTTGTCACGTCAGCCTCCCCCCACATTTTTCACGGACAGAAGTTGCGCACATTTGTCCAAAGCTGGGCGACGGTTGAGTTAGGACACAGCTGGCTGAGTTTGGACACAGCCGAGTTACACGGCTTTGACCATGTTTGACGGAACTGCTCCAAAGTGCGGTCGAGAAATGCATCCGCTTTGTACAAGGTTTGGACCATAAGGACCATAAGGACATCATGTAGCTTGTGAATAAGGGCACATGTATCGCCAACACAGTTCACTAACTACCAAACACAAAAGTGAGTTGAAGTCACTCTCATCCATCATTTTGACTGAAGAAAAGAAACAAAACTGCCGCACTCTCCTTCAGATCAGCCATGATCGTCGCCTTTTTGGATGTGATCATGTTGGCTTGCAGCATGAGCAAAAGTCACAGCCAAAAAGCATGGTGTTTCTTCTCAATCTGAGAAAAGCGTGTGGGAGTTCTTCCAGGATGGCACATGTTTTCCTCACGGGCATCCGCATCCCGGCGTGTTTCTTTCAGTCCACTGAGGCGCATGTGTGATGCCAAGACCAAGAGCTTTCCACTGGCCCCGAGCCAAGCGAGGGAGGACGGCCGTTTGCTTGGGTCCAGTAGGGAGGAATTGGGAATGGGAGTTGAGAAGGAGGAAGAGTTTGTATAGGCAGAAGTGTATAGGCATAGCTTAATCATTAATGGGTCCACCATTAACAAGTTTTGTGCCACCTGAGATTGTACATTAGGGGTTTCTTAGGTGAACCTTTCCATATTCAGAGATGGCCGAAATAATATAATAGGGCTGTTGTCCTTGGTTAATGTTGAAACTTTGGTGAACTTGCACTATACATATGCGGCAAGGTTTTTTGACATGTTTGGACCAAATATGTGGAATTGGTTCATGGTACATTGTGCTTTGCGTAGATGGCCCATCTCTGTCTATATATATATATAGAACGCAGACTAAATAAAGATGTTTGATCAGCATCCTCATAGAATCAGAACAGATCCTTCAGCAGCTCCACAGGGTCAGTCGTCAGCCTTGTGGCCTTGCCATTGGTACGGATTTTGAATGAGAAAGCCTTCAGCACCAGTGAACCAAACCTTGGTTATACTTGGCTTGGTGGTGCCAGGCAATACCTGTCACCAATCGAAGTGGTAGTTCACCTATCGCAGAATGTGAACGAAAAGACGACAACGTCTGAGATCTTGCGGCAGAAACCTACGTGCCCCCTGGGATCTGATGAGTTTCAGGTACTCCACGCGGAAATCCGAAGGTTCTGAACCAAAAGCGTCACTCCGAACGGTTGTTCACAAGCGTTTCCCCCAAGAGTTTCTTAAGATGGCAGTTCGGTTCATCCTGATTCATGTTCTTCTGCAGCATGGGTGCCACTTCTCGTGCCAGTCACGGACTGGCACACTTTGCTTCATCGCTTGCGTCGCGACCGACTGCCAAAGTTGCCCCAAGAATCGAACATGTCTCACTCGACTCGAGTCATGAAGCATGGCGGCTGCAGAGTTTTTGTCTGTAATTTGGGGCACAAGCCTGAATGAGACCTATTTTAGGAAACTAGTCGTAGAGCAGCCCATACTTAACGGCTTGAGAAGTGCCAAAAGAGCAGTGGAACTCTGAGACGAGGCCCCTGGGAAGAGTTTGATAGCACGAGGCCCCGATCCCATCATAGCTCGCTCGTGACACCAGCGAGGTTGTGAGCTTGCCCGGGTAAGGCTCCAACGACAACTGTTTTGGTAGTCACATATTCCTCGGAGCGATATGGGGTGTGTGGTGAAATAGGGAGACTGAGACCGAGACCCCCAAACAATGTGTTGGTTCATTTGTCATTCTTCCAAGGGGTGAGAGAGAGAAGATTAAAAACGGAGAGAAGGAGAACCGTGTTCATGTGTCTTCTAGCAACCCTTTCATCCACCCGTTGCGGAATTGAGGCCCCCACCTGCATGAAGAAGCCTTCGCCACCGCAGTGCCCGGGGTGCCCGGCATTCGAAGAGAGAAACGGATCACGTCAACTTCAAATAGTCAATCATGAAGCTTGAGCCATGAAACTCCGATGGGCGTCTGGCGATTGGACCGTCCAAGATTGAGAAGGACGAGATGTCCCTGGCGGATTGTAAAGGTTGGTTGAACGAGAATTTGTACTCCAAAGGAAGAAGTCAGGTCAGTGGTCTTCCAATTGTATATTGGAATTCAGGGAGGTTGCTTTCTGGCACCGGAAGTCCAGTCTCAGTCGAATCACCAGCGCCAAGAGAGTGCTTCTCTGCCCGTGGCGCATCCGTGCTTCTCTGAGGCAGTGATCCCAGTGAGGAGGATACCCTGAAAGTGAAGGGCTGTAGATTTTGTGCGCCAACGCGGGCGGCCGCGGCGTGCCGGCGTGGGGGGTCAGTGAGGATAGTGGCACACCATGTGGGGTGGAACGAAGCAATTGAAACATCAGGTGCGTTTACCAACTGTTCTTGGCATCAACGGAAGCTAAGGAACATCAAGGAATCATACCTGGACCTCCATGACCACTTCAGTACTAGATTAGACTAGAGATGACTAGAGGCTAGATTGCATCAATGCAAGTCAAGTCAACCCAGTCCTGGTCTTACCCAAGTAATTGCTTCAAAGTAGTGCACTTCTTGTGGTCAATCTGGTCAATAGCTAGATTCGGTGACCTGTTTTGGCTCGAGTGTGTGACACGTCACCTTTGATGGCAGAGAACGATCCAAACGTCATGGAGTCCGACATGGATCTTCATCAGAAGGCCAGAAACAGGAAGTGGAAGAGGGCTACAGGCAGATATAGATGCTTTTGTTTGAGGGGGGCTATAGGTTACTTTGCAATTTGAAGGTCCAACCAATCTCCGAGCATCTCCCAGCTATGTCTCGAACTATAGTATTGGGTCAATCGAGTGACGCTCACAAGATCACCAGCCCACCGTGATGTACTGTGTGATTCCTCTTTTTTGGCTGCAAAACCTGAGCTTCGCGGGGGGATCTTTGTGCGGACGCCCTGCGCTGGCTGCGTCGTCGCTCGGTCGCTCGGCGTGGTCGGTCGACCTGGGTTTCGGCGATCATCACATCTCCCACCTCCAGGTATGTGCGACGAACACATCACAGACCTGGGTTGTCCAACATCGTCCTATGCAATTTGTTTGTACAGTTGGAAGATACAGGTGTGGAAAATAGAAAACATGAGCCCTTCAAAGGCTTTTCCTTTCTTTGATACATAGGGGGCATATCCTGAAAATGGATGAACTTGCTGGGTCACCTCATTCTCTTTGCTCTTCGGCCCACCCGACCGACTGGGCGCCCGACTCTGTCGCTTGGCAGGCGCAGGAGCGGCAGGTCACCATGGAGTCCTTTGCCTCGGAGACCTCCGACGAGACGAACGCCGAGGCGCGCGCCATGGACAGCGCAGCGCCAGAGCTGTTCGGCTGCGGATTGAGCAAAAGATGGATGTCTGAAACACGATGGAACTCTTAAGTTTCGTTGTGGTCATTTAGCTCTTCGCATTTCTCAGTGCATCTTTCGCTGGTGTAAGTTCTTTCTTGTGCTGGTGCATCCGTTTGCTTAGAAGCAAACCTGAACAAACGAAGCAAAACTTTGAAAAAAATAAACGATAAGAGGAACCAACAAAATCATTGAAAAAAATAAACGATAAGAGGAACCAACAAAATCAATGCAAACATATATAAACCCTTAAGAGGCCTTGCAAAAAAAAACTATGTTTGACCCCAAAACCATCGATCTTCCCTCTGCTCCCGTCAGCTTCTCCTTTCTTCCCCAGGTGGAGACCCGACTCCGGGAACAGCTCCAACAGCTCCGGACTGGCCAAACAGGGGTGGGTCAACCAACCCCCCTGGGGTCGGCGGATTGGTCGCAACGAGGTACTGAGGATGTGTTCTTTGTTTCACGTGGTGCCAGGTGGTGCCAGTGTTGTTTCTTTGCAACAGGCATTTGGATCCAACGAACTGCAGGAGAACACGTGGGTGGTGTCGGATTTCTTCGTTCGACGGTATGGAGCTAGGCTATATACATGGATATATACAGATGTGGTGGGTTAGACGGGTCCTGCCTGCAAGCCCCAAGGATCTCTGTGAGGGACCGAGGGGATTTGACTCCATCGATGCTTTCTGACTCCATATGATGGGCTGGGATGTTGCTCCATGGTTGGAGACTCATCCCTCCATCGAAGTGTGATGGTGACCCTCAGCAGCTCTCCAAACAATGGGTCGCTACATGTTCATATGATGATGAGTCGAGTGTTTTCCCCCTTGATATTAAAGTGTCACGCCATCATGCAAACAGAGTAGCTTGGACTCTTTGACAAATGGATGAGAGAACAGGATTGAATCGTTGAACAGATCTTAACGATCAAGAGCGGTCGGGCAAGATCACATACTTGAAGAATGTTATCCTGGTTATCCTTGTATATAGGGAGCCTTTTTGAAGTTCATACAGCTAATATCCAGCTAATAGTAGTGAGCTAGAGGCAAATGGGGGGAACACGTTGCGGCTTTCCTGCGACCACCCTTGGCAGCCAGTATCCATTGGGACCCTGAAGAAGATCTTCGGAAGGAAAAGGCCTCGATGGTCAACACTCACCACATCGGACGTCTCATTACCTTTTCCAGTTCGTCGATTTGTTTGGAGCATACCGCTTGCACGTCAATTCTCAAAGAACAGGGACAGCAGAAATGCCCTAGTTTGGGATGCCCGGGGCCCTGCCTGAGTTCTCGCACCAAAGCGTTTCAATGAACGGCAGCACCTCCTCAACCCGCCTGGCAGCACCAGTGCTGCCAGCGCTGAGTTTGACCTGGCTTCGCGGGCAGGAAGCGGTTGGCCATCACAGAGATGGAGAAGAATGAGGCGAAGGCAGCCATGTAACAGGTCGACATGACAAGGTCACCTAGAGAATCACTTGATTTGGGCTTTTCACAGGGACGCCACTCAGGAATCTCTTCAGATGATTGAATATGATTCTTCGTCATTGCCGATCCCGGTCTGCACTAGTTTGTGTAAAGTAGGGAGACCCCCCAACAGATGGTTTGTCTCGTCCCGAGGGGTCTCCAAGAGCTGCTATGGATGTAGGTACTGACTCTGCTGGGACGCCAACCTGTTCAGCTTCTTTGGTCAATTGAATTGAACAAACATGGTTAGACACTATAGGCCATAAAGTATAAATAATATGTACACATCTAGTAGATGCCTACTATACTTGAGTGACTCCTGTTTGTGTTCAGATGAGCTCACACCGGCTTGCGGCGCTTGCGGCACAGGCGCGCGTCAAGGAGTTGGAGGCTCAGTTGGTGAAAGGCGCTCCGTTGGAGGCGACGGGACGCTGCGCGTCGGTTCGTTGTCCACTTTGAGGCTCCAACGACATACCAGGTGCGTGGGGGCGTCATACCCTTTGAAGCAGTCCTTGTCCTGCCGGCGCCCCATGAAAACGCCAAGCCCAGGTTCCAAGTGTTCCAATCTTCCACGGTTTGACTCGTCGGTGCAAGTCCGACGTCGGTCTCTTCGTCACGAGTTTTCGTCTTTTGCACAACAGGTCCAAGTCCTGCTCCAGCAGCTAAACCAAAAACAAATGGATTTACGAGAAGCTCAGCGGAAGCTCAAGGACCCGCCACAACCGCGCGCGACACGCACGAGACACGCGCGTGGAAGGGGCGCAAACGGCTGTTCCTTGGATGGCTGTGATGGGAGAGCTTCAACGGTGCGTGGATGCCAAGGATCAAGAATCGAGTGATTCAATATGTTTGCTGTGGGGATTTGATGTATGGCATGAGGACTGATTCTGTGTGACCATCTGGGATCGTGGATCAACATTTTGTTGGGTCTCGAGCCCTAATGCATCCTAATGCCAACATCGCCCGATTGTCCTGCAAGGTCCTTTGATAAATTTACCCCCACGTTCGGAATCATGTGATAATTAATAATATTTTACATCGCCACATGTTGTTTCTGAATCATCATCAACTGTTTGATGTCCATTGGTTTCTAGAGACCAGGACAAAGAGAAGCATGTCAGTCAGCGGGGAGTGAACATGTGTAACCGAGCGCGGCGAGTGGCGAACGGCCGAGGCGCACTCGTGAGGTCATATATGTTGGAAAGCCCATGAGAGCGCAGAGCAAGGCTAGCGCTGGTTGATGGATGTTGATGGCTTTTGTGTAGCTCGGAGGTCCAGAAGCCAGGTTCCGTGTGGGAGATGATTCGAAACTTCCATACCCCTTGCGCCGGACTGATATCCATCCTGGGGATCTACCTGTCGCTGTCGGTAGCGTTTGTGGTATGATCTGAACCGTTTGGCTGTCGGTGTCGGTGTCGCTCCCTCCAGGAGCTGCGAGAGATCCCAAGGCGCGGCTATTTCGGGAGGATTCATGGCTGAAATCGCATGTGTTCATAAGATGGGTGGACCATGCAGGGAATAGGGGTGTGTGTTTGCTTTCCACTATGCGAGTTGTGCGTTTGATGCATTTTTATACACGAATCATTTAACATGTGTTTGATTAATTTAATATGTTTGAAGACCAAGCCCATGCCCTATACCTAGGACCCAGGAACTCGTCCAGGCTAGAATTCCAACCCGAATCCATTCAGGCAGTATTTCTGCCCGAACATGGTTTTCACGCCCGACCCTGGAATTCTCGCCCGAATGTGTTTTTGCTCATTATAGATATACTGCGAGTGATGAATACATGCAATGCAACTTGAGTCTACGACATCCACCCGATCACATAAATTCTCACCCGATCACAAAAATTCACGCCCGAATCATGCCGATTCTCACCCAAATTGAAATGTCGAACATTGCTTCAAAACTTATATAGGTGCTTTGCAAGTAATTTGCAGCATTTGCCCGAATAACGATTTCTGCCCGCAGGCTGTTTTTAAGGACAAACCCTGGTTCAGGCAGATTTTCTTGAACAGGCAGAAATTTGAGCCTGAATGAGGGTCCAGGTATGGATCCTGCAGCACATTCGATATCCACGTGAAAGAATTCCCAACCGCCAATAACCTCAGGGTATTTGGATGCGGCAAAAACGTAGTGCTGACTTCCCGGAATGGAAAGGTTCAACGGCTGCTGTTCACGTCGGATGGATGGTGAGAAAAGTCTTCCGTTCCACGTCGGGATGGGTTCAACGCTCCCGAAACGTTGCGCGGAGGCAAGGATGTTTGGGGGTCGGAACACAAAGCAGGTCAGTGGCATTTACGGCATGCCTTGTATATTCACTGACATTCAGGTGGTTTCAGGGGGTTGTACGGGCTGTAAGGGTAATATATACTAGACGGATTGGTCAAGGATCCTGAATATACTATCCTGAATAATAATTAGCTCCTTGGCTTGCCATG